AAGTTTCTGACAATATTGTTATAAATATAAGCAAAGAAAAAGTAAGAAAAGCGACAAAGAGAGCTACGCCCTTTTGTGAAGTGATGGAATGCACATCTTGTAATTTAAAAAAGAGAGAAAATTTTAACGCTGATTCAGTAATCACTTGATTTGCAAAATTCGACAGGTGCGAGGGGTAGAGCTCTTGATTTTAATGGACCATTGCCTGGAAGTTCGCCTATTGGTAGACTTACACAACTTTTAACTCCGATAGGTTTTGCTTTAGGTTTGCACGTATGTTTTTATAAAATTTATAAATTTCAATTGTCTTATTTAAAAATGTCAAATATAGACTCAAAAATAATAATAAAAAATACACACCTTCCACATTAACATAATTATCCCCAAAGATAGCAAGTACCACCAAAAAGCTTAAAAAGATCTTTATAGCAGACTTCATTGTTTTTTAATTCTCATTAATTTTAACTTGCGTTATTTATTAGAAATTGTTTTGTACTTGGTATACATATTTGCAGTGATGATTATTAAATACATGTACTGTAAATGTACCGTTACATATGCATTTGTAATTGAATTATGCACATCTATAAAAACGTTGATAAATTTACTACACGATTCTCCTTCATAATTTTACATGCATTTATGAATTATGCGCTTCTATGCCTGTCCTTTCAAATATTGTAAATCACAAAAGTATTCATTAATTATATCATTATCCCTGTTAATAAAGTTGGCACCAGCCCACATGCGTAATGTACGCCTTTAATAGGCTATATTGGGCATGCATAATTATAATTACGCTCGGTTACTAATCACATGCATGTAGAAATGCGCGAATCATATGCAAATCGGCAACTATCAAAACTGGGAAAAGGATTACAGTTTAAGCAAAATTGTCTCACCAATAATGCCCTAAATGCGAATATTGAATCTGTGCCCAGTTCTGATTACACCGATAAGAAAGCGCAAATCAAATATGTGCCGGCAACTATTAAAAGCTTTTTTTTCAGGGCTAGGTTTGGGGTTAAAGTTAGAGATAAGACAAAGTTACATGTACATGTACAACAAAATTTGGATGCATGGATAAAGTTAATTTTTCCCGATTGTCTGGATACTTTCTTCAGAGTAATATACATATCGATATACATGTACAGTCACCACAAAAAGTAATACCCGATTTTTTAAAAAATAAAATTTCGGATTTATTTTATTTCTGTCTTATGAATATAATATTTTTGTACCACTAGCTAATATATTATTAGTTCTTTGCATAGCTCTAATATCTTTTTGATTTCTCAAGGCATTGAGCCTACAACCTCCTCAAAAGCCATTACATAAATTTCCTTCAGAGTAGTCTTGAGCTTTTTCGCAATCCTTGGGAAGTTTTTGCACTTTTGAATATTGTTCCCCAATGACTTGCAGACATTCCTATAAAGTCAGAGTTGAGACAACACAATATTCATTGATTTTCTATTTGATTCTATTCATGGCTTCTTTTTCTAATGTAGATTACGTTTTATTTTTTGAATCATCATTTCTCTCAAATCAATGAACAAATTATATTATGAAAAGGGACTAAATTATCTTAGAGAATCTTCAGGTAAGCTTTTGCATGAATTTCTTATTACCAATTTTGTGAAATGACTCAGGATGTCTTTGTTTCTTGTATAGGTGCATTTTTTTCTTGATTTTTAAAAGCATATGGTCTCCCAGACAGTGCTAAATTTTTGTTTTGCCTGTCTCTTTTGTACTTGGCAAGAGACCATTACACTATCATCGGGTTACAACACATTTTTTCCTTGATTTGAGAGAACAAAATGTTCAAAAAAAATAAAACTTGATCTACATTAGGGAATAAAATGAAATAAATTCAAATAGAGTAAATCAGCGCCAAGCAAGCCATAATAAACAATTATATTATGAAAAGGGGTCAAATTACTTTAGAGAATCTTCAGTAGGTTTTTGCAAAGATTTTTTATTACCAATGTTGTGAAATGGCTCAGGATGTCTTTTTTAGTTTCTTGTATATATGCATTTTTTTTCTTGATCGTTATGAGCTTATGGTCTCTCAGACAGTGGTAAATTTTTGTTTTTCCTGTTTCTTTTGTACTTGGCAAGAGATCATTATACTGTTACTGGTTCCGTCACATTTTTCTTGCAACTTGCTTGGCACTCATAACTTCATAAAAATCACTATTTTTATCCTTGTCAAAGATGGCCTATTGGTACGACAGGTATCATATTTACACCTAAAAAAATTTCACCTAGTGTATTTTTAAAAGCAAAGAAGAAAATAATAAAAAAAATTAGCGTCAACAATAACAAAAAATGGGAAAACGCGACGCATATATTTACCTATGTTGTTACATATGCAAATCGGACGTTACTTTTTGTGGCGACTGTACATGCAATCATACCCAAAACAGGAACCTTTATTAAACATTTGCCAGAACTGGAATCTTTATTAACATTTAGCAACCTCTTAACGTTAACTTGCTTCCTTAATCACTGAGTCCCGCTTCTCTTTGCCAAATTAGTAACAAGTAAGCAGCTGTCACCATAATTGTTCACAATTTATAATTGATACTTCTCACACCCACGCTCTCTATGTTACAATAGCTAAAACTCTTTCGAAGTTACTTTCTTTATTGACGGACGCCTAATAATAACCTTTCCGCAAGCCTAATTCATCCTGTGTAGAACTCTTTTAGTATTACCGAAACTCTTCAATTACGATAGAAAAACGGTGAATGGATCATTGTATAGTTTTCTTTAGCATATCATTAGAAATACTTTAACACGCTCATATGTATATAAAGACGCGTTCTTGACCTTCTAACAAGAACAGAACAACTTTAATAAAGAAGTTTTAATAATAGTTCATAACCATATTTTTGTTGTTATTCGCACTTGCATAGATAAGTGGAAGGAACTCCACTTTAATAAACCATATTTCTCGATAAAAAAATCTTGTTTACTGACGTTTGAATAAGTCCAAATGAATGTCTACTTTGATGCTCAATTCTTTTAGTTTGTTGGCCGCATCAATAAGTCCATATTTTGTCTTCTTGTGTTGGTGGTACGCAAAAACTACCCGTATTCCTCTAGGAATTCCGTGAATCAACCGTTGTGCCCGTCAAACTCTGAAAGATATAATTCTTCCCGCCCAATCATCGTTTAAATAGTAGTTCTCGCAAGAACTACCATAGGAGGAGACCTTTAGGACGGGTCGAGAATCCCTCCTTTCAGTCGAAGCTCTCATTATTGTGTCTCATCCTATTTTCTCTAGATCTAAAATCTTTAAGAAATAGCATGACAGTAACTTAATATCATGAGAAAATTTGTGATTGGATGAACAAAATCGATTCAATTTTACATGTACATACGATCGGTTGGATGTTTACTACATGTATTATGAGTTTTAGAGAACTCCTATATTAGTAGATTATAATTATGATTGACATGAGGATGAATATATATACCAGGGCTGTCAAATAGACATCTCTGTCTAAAATAGTTGTCTATTTGTCCGGTTTTAGACATAATTTTAGACATTTTGTAATAACACGTGACTTATCACAAATCATGTGACATAAAATAACGGTCACTATTTATTGTAAAGTGTAACAAAAAAAACTAGATATTTTATTTTTGATTACAGTCGAACCCCTCTATAGTCACCCTCTCTATAGTCACAAACTCTATATAGTCACATTTTTTCAATAACAAACTTTTTTTATTATTAAATTACTCTTTTTA